CGGCCTTTGCTGATCCCTAATTTCAGTTCCCCCCCCCCCCACGGCCCCCTACTTATAAACCTATTTATCGAAGTTACAAAGACGACATCATCTAAACGTGGACGTTCCCAAAATGGATATCCTGAAGGTTCATTTTAGCACATTTGTAGGTTTTCGACGTGCCCAGCCTAGACAAGGAAGTCTTTTTCTTCGTATGCTCGAAGACATTCGAATTCAATTCTCACGACTTCGCGATTGTGTGACGCGTATGACCAGATGAACTTCCTGAAGAGGGCTGCCCCACCGAGGCTTCGTCCCCTCTCGACTACGATAGTTGCTAGCGCTGCCGCAATTTCATCGTCCCATACCCCTTTTCACCCCTCCCTCTGATGAGAAACGTCTGGCAAGAGTAACACAAAATGGATGAGGGGCTCGTGGTTGTTGGGTGGTAGCGGAAATGTTCGTTGATGTGTGGGGATGGAAAAAAAATCCGCTTCGAAGAAATGTTACTTATGTTTAATGCACTTCCTGAATGGTTTTGCCCAGTTTTTATGTTTCCTTTTTTACCCCCCGGGGTACTCAATCTGCTGAAGTTTGGCTACATATGGTTGCGAAAGTTGGAGAAGGGAGAGCACTCACTCTCCTCAGGATGCGCCACGTACCTGACCAGCACACAAAACTGTGGAGCTTTTCGAATGTCTACTTTTCCAAACACAAATCCGTATAGGATTTGCAACCCCAATCAGTGTTCGAGTTGTTGTCGGCGCTCCTTGAGCTCCCTAATTGATATATAAGGACTTTCAACCCCCAACCCGTGTTCGAGATGTTTTTGGTCTTCCCCATGACCGCGACAGGATGGAACTGTTGGTAGTGGGTTCAGATACCGGAAAATTGAAGATATCAAGTGCTCCTTCCAATCATTACGCTATTTCCCACACGACGGGATTTTCTGGGCAGTTGCGACGCTTCGTCGGAAAATTTTATTGATTTTTAAGTGCAATTGTTATGATTTTGTTTGGTAAATAACTGTAGTTTTGTAGTAGTTTTTGCTGATGCTGCCTGTGAAAGCTTTCCCATGGGAAACCTAAACGATTGCAGATTTCGGGGAATACCCGGATAGGAAACTTTTCACAGTAACAAAATTTTGAACATGATGAAGAAAAGCAGAAGATTTTGGTGACATGTTTTGACTTGTTTATTTCCCCGCGTTTGTTTTTTTGCCGCGTGCGGCGGTGCGAAATTTTCGCGCGGTCGGTCTAGTCATTAGTTCCGTGCTGAGCTCGAGCCCCGTTTAAGGTTTAGCGTTCTGCTCATAGCTCAGCAACCTCTGAAACCATACTAATCTGTTCCGGAACTTCGGCCTCTGACTGGCTTCTACAACCAAACAGAAAAGCCAATGGGATTAAGGTTAATTGATTTGCTCGTGCGACTCATAGTAAATAATCCGTAGGAAATCGAAAATCTGTTGCAATACCAACAATATAATGTAATATAATAATACAATTTAATAAAATATAATCCATTTCGATATTATATAATGTGTGATATGATGTGATGCATTGTATTGTAATATAATCTGCAGAAAATTGCTTATTATTGTCACATTTTCCATTATTGGATACTTCCGCTTGTGGGCGTCATGAAAATGAGGATTAGGAGTGTTTTTGTAGGACAGTGACTGACCCTATTAAGGTTAGGCTCAGAATAAAAAAAGCCAAGAGCTCGGAATCGAAATGCCCCTGAGAATATTTACTCTAAGAAGCTGAAAGTATAGACAAAATTCATCAGATAAGGGTAAGAATAAAGTTGACGACGTTAATTAATCCCGTTTCTGGAATTCGCCCCGCATTCGACTATCATTCAGAATCGTAGTGGCGTTTTGAAGGGTGGCTGGGGGCCGATGGACAAGTCAATGCTTCTACCCTCCCAGACGAGTCTTGTACCAAATAACCAACCTTGGAGGAATGGAAGGCTTGGTTGGCCCAGGAGGATATAGATCTGGATCCGATCCCTAGACCATACATATGTAGGAATGCGCCACTTGCCACTCCACTTCCGCTGTCATGGGATAAGTAATAATTACCTACCAAAAAGGTAACTGTGGATACCCGTTCCCTCTCGAAACACGGCCGGCCCTTATTTCGAAAAGATTGCTGCCAATAACTCTCCACTACCACTTTTTGAACAATGATGCTTAAAGTCTAGGAGTATCATCGTACACAGAAGGGCATGTTGAGCCGTTTTGAGCCTTCTCATGCCAGTGCACAAGTTGTTTTGTCTGAAGTAATGAAAGCTCAAAACATTGTTTGTGAAAATGAGAACAAAGTCTCTCCCCCCTCTCCCCCCACCCCCCATCATCTATCACCTACGCATTCCCCTCATAAAGCTTTGCATGAAAGCATTAAAAGCTGCAGGAAATGCTCTAAAGTGGGGTCTCGACACGAATAGCATTCGCTCTCGGCCTTTCCGGAACACTTCAATGCTGCTGGTACTTCAAATGCAAAATTCAGGCAATGGGACTGGGAAGATGAGCTCAGAGCTTCAGAGGGAGTTCAATGGAGACAATTCCTAGCTCAGATCAAACCATGTTGGGAAGCATTCAGGTCAATTTGTACGGTAACATACCTCCTTCAAGCAGTAAAATGCGGTCTTATGAAATAAAAGCGGCGGTTCGAAAAGAAAAATGTTTCCAAAGCCGTAACAGCCATAGAAATTCTTTTGTGGTTCTAGAGGGAAGTCAAGAGCATGGCGTAATCCAAATCTGTCACACCCAGTACTTCTCTGTCATTCTGAATTCTGAGCACTGGCTTTCTGCAGGTGTAAGGCCGTTGCAGTCGCCCTTCCCAGACACCACCTGCTACCAATCGGCTCTGGGCAGAAACGGTCCTAATTGAATAATCTATTCGCCCCATGCACATACTGTGCAGAGCTGATGACATAAATTTGCACTAATAAGCTTCAAGATCTGCAGAGATGATGGAACTCGTCCACAGCAAAACCACTGTGAAGAGAGGATTTCGTCATGAATGTACTTATCATCCACTTGGGTCGAAATAACACATTCACTCGAACTTTGAAGCTTTCAAATGCCTGAATGTCACGAATGCCAAACATCCACTCCACTGATGGCTAAGAAAACATTGAACTTTTGAATAATGTTCGAGTGCCTAGCCGAAAAATAGGGCCTTCATGGAATCGATGAATAGCCGAGTTTTGGTTCGAAGTTCTAGCACGAAGAACGCGGTATTCAGGATGCGCCATGCAGTTGACGTCAACTCAGAATTGTGTTGGTACTTGAATGGTAAGGTGCTATGCCTTTTCGGTCGATTTCATCGGCAAAACATGGGCGTTTAATCAATACCTATCGAAATTACTGCTGCCAAGTCGTTTGACGCTTCATTTTGGATGGGTAAATACTCTGGGAAGTCTCTATCTCCCTAAGTCCTAGACACAGGTCGAATTCGAGGCGCTCTATTCACTACCCCTGACGGGTGCCACGTGAATATAATTAAGCCGTATTCATCCCCCATGAATGCCGTGTCGAATGGGAACAGGGAAGCTACGAAATAACTTCGTTGTGAAATCCATTGCTTCTATTTTGGCCACCCGAAGACAACTCGTTGGGCTTTGTTCCCCGGGAAAATCTCGCCATGACGACGACGTTGCATCCTTTTGACCCTCGAGGACCACTTTAAGCCGCCAACCCTGGCCCTTCACTCTTCTTCGGAATCCTTTGAAAAGATGGATGATGCCGACGGCCGGCGGCATCGATTAAGTTTGTTGGGTGCATTAGCACAAGTGAAAGAAGAGGGCTTGTCGAACTTTCGGCAAAGTTTGATTGATAAGGCTGATAAGACTGGCCGACGTTTCCTCGATTTCTTTTGGCGTTCCCAGTCAGATCCTTTTATGTCGTGTGCTATCGTCGGCGGCCCTCATAGCAGCGCCCTGGATATCCGTTGCAATATGAGGGGGGCCCGGATGATGTGCGATCCTTAAAAGGGTTAGCTGACCAGAGATCATCGCCTATTCATTGTCGGATGCCGGCGTCGCCAGCTGTGCGCTGCCCATTTGAAATGCAATCTATCGGCGATTTCCCCCAAACTTGGATGAATTGCTGAGATTTGTTTTTCCCCATGACAATTGCGTGGGGTATAAACAGTAAATGGGAGTGATGTTTGGCGTGCGCAGTGCACCCTGTTTCCATTCAAAAATGCACAGCCTTTGAAGGCGTATGCAGCATACACAATAGCTTGCACAGGCCGATGTACGGATTGGTCATTGATTCTGCCCTTTTAGGTAAACCCGGAACTAGGTAAGTAGCCTGCGGGGTAGTTAGTATCTAATTGGTTCAATTCAGCCTATACAATGTAAATAAGGTATTTATGGCGGTTCCACTTCGGGTCGTTGACATATCTCTCCCCTCAAAGCAAAAGCTGAGATCGAGGGTTTATAC